TCCTTGAGCGTTTAAAAAGCTAGACGTGATAGAATCATGGGTTAAAAGCATCGATACAAAGCTCAACTGCCTAGAAGACCGTAAAGCAGTATTTGAGAATTTCAGACAAACTACGGAGAAGGACATTAATAATCTTAAAGAAAATGGAAATTTCACTAGCTCACAGTTAACTAAATTATCGACCGAGCTAAAAAATCACCGAGCCGCGATCACTCATGATTTAACACAAGAGGCGGAGGTGAGTAAGGAGTTGTTAAACGACCTGACATCAAAAAATCTCTACCTAGAGGCTTATTTCAGAAGAGAGAACATCAGATGTATGAACACAGGAGAAGGCTCCTCCGATGAACCCAAAGATGTCCAAGAAACCCTAAGCAATTTCTTAGAACGCGAACTGGGCTTCCACGACGCATAGAAATCTAAAGAATTCATCGAATTGGAAAAAAGCAAGAATGAAAAGCCCCGCTAATACTGGCCCGTTTTCTGAGATACAAGGATGTCCAGAAAATATTGTCACTCGGAAACCGATTAAGAGAAACCGACTTCCAAATGTTCCGCGACTATTCTGCAGAAATTGTCAGACTTCTTAAAGAGCAGCATTCAACAACATTTCTGCATCCTTCAGTCTATCAAAACCAGAGAAGTTATTTATTAAGGGTCGATTATGTCCTGTAGGGAAAAAAACTGATCATTAATTCTGAGACTGTCTAGTTTCATATAAGTGTATTACGGTGTATTACGGTGACAAATTTACTATTCTTTTTTTTATCTTTGCGGCTGGTCACCCCTTAGAGATGCAAAGCGACCACCCAGCAAGGGAACGTTTTCTCTTTGTCTTTGTGTTTTTGTGTCTTTTTTCTATTTTGCTTTACTTTCCGTGATTTGAAATATCTTCATTTTAGACCTTTTTGTACTAAACCGATACTTTGTATCTCATTTGCACAAATCGGAATATAATCTCTAACGCTATTATTCTTTGAGTGAAAGTTGTCAGATTCTTTTTTCTTCACAGTGACAAAAGAAATGGATCTTACAATTGGTTCAATTAATGCTAGGGGATTGGGAGACAGAATCAAGCGACGGGAGTTCTTTAATTGGCTGCGAAAAAACAAATAGCCATGTATTTTATTCAAGAGGCTTATTGTACTGAAAGTAATATGCATGATTGGGGAGCTGAATGGGGTTATCAGGCCCTTTTAGCTGCTGCTTTACCAAAAAAGCAGGCGTTATCACATTGTTTCACAATACTTTTACCTTTCAAATTTCGAGAGCATACTAGCAGATTTCAAGTGCGATGAGGTCATAATTAGTTGGAATTGTAATTTAGCACTGGATGTTGAGAAAGATAAAAATGGTGGCCTCGCAAAAACCCTCAAAATATCGTTGGCAGTCATAAATAGATACTGTGAAGACTTAGACCCAATTAATGTCTGAAGAATACAAAACCCTGAACAACGACGATTTAAATGGATACAAAAGAACCGCAAAATACATTGCAGACTTGATTTTTTTCTCGTAAGTCAATGCACATCTTGCAACTCAATCAATACCGACATCGTTCCTGGTTATAAGACAGATCACTCAACGATTCCATTGCAAATATCGACGCAGAGCAACACGAGAGGACGAGGTTTTTGGAAACAGAAATACCTCATTGCCAAAGGATGAAGAATATATAAAGAAAATACAGGGGAACCTAGGGATTCCTTCCTGTAAAATAACTGTTCGAAGGAGCAAATATTGCCTAGAAATTTCTAAAGCTAGTGAAAAGCTAAAACTTTCTGGATAACCGTTCCATTCGTCTAAAGTATTCGTAGATTTTCTAATAGTTAACTACGATTACGCGGAGATTGTGTTAGTCACATTTTGATACCAAGATATTGCGCTTGTTGTCAAGAAAAAGGTCTCCTAAAACTTTCGGTGTAACGACGAAACGTCCCCTAAATTTTCTAATGAACGCGAGGCTACTTCATGTCCTCGTACTTTCGACCGGACCCATAAGTGTAGCTAACACTTTCGGATAACACGGAAAGGCCATGCACCTAAAACTTTCGTGACGACCAAAGTTCGCGTAAGAAATCTGAACGGATAAATAGAATTTGTTTTCCAGGTCTAATCTACTCTGATAGAGAGCCATTATGTCCCTTTAATGTGATCGAAGATGATTGCTATTTTTGGGTGTACATATAAGGCTATCAACTCGATGTAAGATTTAGTTCACTCTTGGACTGATTGCAAATTATTTTTCTCTAAAATTACTTAGCCTTTCCCTCAAGTCACATGAATGTGCTCTAAAGTTAACTGATTTGTGGAATACAATTTTATTGTTTGATTTAAATTATAAATTAATTAGTGAAAGCTCGGCTTTTAGCCCTGGCTAAATCTATATATTATGTTATACTTGGCTGGACGTTGGTTATGATCTGAAAGTTTAACTGATAAAATTCATTTACGTACCAGAACTGATTTAGGTACCTATAAGTTGCAATGATACATATGTCAATATAGGAAGTTGAACACAGAAAGTAGTACGTTTCATCCCCTTGGGGGAGGGGGCTGTTCAATAAAGCTTTGTTCGGAGAGGCTCCACCCCGAGGTCCAATCCTTTTCGTAATAGATGGTTTTCACAGTGACGTCATCAAACTGTTAAGTCAAAATAGGGAGGTTTTACCAATTCTCATTTACACTAGGTTGAAGATAAACAAGAAATAAATCTTTGTACAAGTTTCCATTCCCGTAGCATGTTTCATTTCGAAAATACAGCAATCTGAACTTCCGAACTTTCACGGTGCGTGACACCAAAATAGGAATGAGGTGTCTTTGAAAAAAGAGTCTCTCCTCTTGATTTTCAGCAGTATAACCATTTCAAGTATTAGAAGATATGTTTATGCGCACATATTCTAGTTCTCGAGTGGAAAAAAGAGCTTCTCAAGAAAAAGTGAACTCCAGATGTTTTTGCTGATTTCCGGCGGCCATATATTAGTGTACCAAAACGGTGCACCAATATGGCGTCTCCATACAAATCTCTACAAAGGTGCGTGAAACGTTTCGACAAATAACTCAGAAGCTGTGGACCACAAAGACCTGAGACTTGGACAAATTGTTTATAAATTAGTCTTTTATAACGTTTCATTTTCTTGGTTTCTTTCCCTCGGCGGTTTCTAATTTATTTTTTAGTTGCGTGACACTGAAAACGATCTAAATATACCATTTTTGACAAAAAGTATACCCCTTTCGAATTTAAATGATATTGCCATGAGGCGCGTCTCTATTTTGATAAAAGGTTCTTTAAAATACTTAATGAAAGATTTTTCTCTGCTTTCATATACTTCAACTTCTGATTTTCCTTCTCTTTGTTAAACCTGATGCCTGAAAGAGGTACCCTTCGGGCGAGGCCTTCCGGATCCTGTACACTGCAAGCCATTATAGGTCAATGAAGAACAAATGAAGTAAGGCCAATTAGGTACCTGTTCACCATCCCTATCCCCCTTCAGTCCGCGAAAAAAGTATACCACAAAACAAACAAAATTCAACTAAAAAAGTATTTGAAGAAGAAATAGGACTGGAGTACGTCGCTAATAAGCCAGTTTGTGTGTTTGTTTTTGTTTCGTCTTGTTGGGACAAGGCAGCTACTAGTGCCAGTCCCTCCTGAGTGCTGAATTTCCAAGATGGTGTTTCCTTGTTATTTTCTAGTTTTGTTCCATGGTTTAGCACTTTTGCCGTTTCAAAATATAACAGTGGCAGTTTTTCGCGATGTCTAATATTTCCTCCAGCTATTGAACAACGAAATATGAAGAAAATTCATGAAAAGGACTCAATACAAACGCGAAGGGATCGGCCTGTTTGTAAGAAAAAGCTTGGAAACTATAACAAATGTGAATTTTCTAATTTCTTCCTATTTCAACGGCCCAAAATGATTATTAGTGTTTTGGTTGCATGTCATGATAGTGGTAATTTGTGTGTCAGATTTTCACTGTTCTTTTAGTTGTACAGTATAAATCAATTTAAAAATGACCGATTTTTGGATGCTTGCAGATACTAAGTTTAGGTCAGGTGAAAAAGGAAAATCTTAGTCTTGCCTGTAGATACTAAACAAAGTATTTGGTTTTAGAAAGTGATCCAGTCTTGTTTTGTATCGCATACAGAAAATAAACTTCGCTCGTGAAATTTTGAGGGTTCTGTAAGTTTTTTGGAAATTGGTAAAAATTTGCTTGTAAAAATGGCGTCGGGTGGGTCGAATAAAGTGACATACAAGGGCAGTGAAGTACCTATGTTTGCTATATTTGCCCGTTACTTAACCTGACTTGTCTATGATGTTTGTATGAAATTATTCTGTTCACCGTCTTCGTTGACATTTTTATCATTTTGCCCGGTTTTCTCTGACAGTCACTCTTAATAATTCATAAAGAAAAAAACGAAAGAAATTAATATTTAATGAGTGTCTTATAATATCTTAAAGACACGGCTTAACCAAAAAAAGCCCAAATCTCAATATTAGTGAAAAAATGAGTTGATTTATGTGAGAGATTTTGAAGCCGGTTATAAAATCTTGCAGTCTTCTATTATCAGGTGTAAAAACGCTTGGATTCGCCTCGAGTTTTTAAACCTGATAATACAAGACTGATCATTTTTTAAACGGTACATGTTAACTAGTTGTCTGAATTTCTTGTCTTCTCTAAAAAATAATATCTTAACTCATAAGCTTTGAAAATGGTTACTAGAATCTAGGCTTTAAATATGAAAATCAAGCACTGGAATGTTAGGTAAGAGTTGTATTGTGTTTCTTTGACATTCAAAAGTCTGAATACTTCATTTGTATTTGCCGGTTTAAAAAGAATAGCGGGCCTCAGCAGGAAAAAAGATGACGACGGTTTAGGTTTTCAGTGTTCATTTCACTAATTCTGTGTATTCTTTATTGCTATAAAATCGATTTACTATTGAAATGAAACAACGAAAGTATAAAGAAAGGGGAGCTATTTCGTTAAGGTAATGCTTGTGACTTTTCTCTTTTTCAGGGACAAAAAGGAGAGCATGGCTCACCAGGGCAAAATGGGAGTGGCGTGATTAAGTTTATTGATACCCCAGAAAACTGTACCCAGAGCAGCGCTGGCACTGTTAGATACAACACTACTCAGAAGACTTTGCAACTCTGCGATGGAAGTGTTTGGCTGTCATTGTTGACTGCTGGGATGGGGTACACGGCAGATAAGCCAGGCCGCCATTGTTTGGATATTTTGCATTCAGGTGAGTCTTGAGACGTGCAGAAAAAATAGGTAAGAAAGACAGGTGATCAAAAAACCAGGCCTTTTAGAAAGTCTCCACTTCAAAAAAAAAACGTTCTCTTGAGAATACCAATTACATCATTAATTAAGACTTTTTTTCAATTAACAAGATGTTTATTTCCGATCAGGTCAGAGCCGTGGAAACGGGCTTTACTGGATCGATCCAAACGGTGGCTCGATAGATGACTCGTTCCAAGCTTTCTGTGACATGGAAACTGATCATGGCGGTTGGACCCTGGTTGCCACAAAGGTCTCTCCGAACTTTCTCTTCATCAAATCTGTATTCTCAGCAGTGGCCGCGAAAACTACGAACGCAGATGCCGCGAGTCATATCCACCCAAGCATGTTGGACTGGAAAGAGGTAATGTTCCGCTTTGCTGACGTCAACAGTCCCCGGGTTATTTACAACAGGAAGGTGGGCGCAACGAACAAAGACAAAGAAGAATTCGACAAGTTCTTAATGGGCACGATCATGCAGGTGGGAAAGAACGTGTACGGATTTCACAAGTACAGCCCAAGAGATCTCAAAAGAAGTCCTACTGAAAGATTTGCCACAATTTCTCCTCTGTATTTCTATTCGGAGAGGGGGATCTCGGAAGCTCACACTGGCACAGACAAGTGGTTTGACATTTGGAATACAGCTGACATCTCAAACAACTACATCTACTTAGATGACAGCAAGGCACAGGGTACCAAGTGTATCGCGGGCTACTGTTATGTGAGGAAGCCAATCTGGGTTATGGTCCGCTAGGAACAAAATTTCATTGCGCCCAAACTAAGCTGATTATGTTCCCTTTTAATAAGGGGGAAAACTTACTAACAGCCAAAGAATAATTTAAGTAAACACTTAAGATAGAAAATGTATCGAAGATTTTCAATCATTTTAATGGATCGTAACAGCGTTTACCTTCCAAATATAAAAATGCCTAACTTTCGAGTAAAAAATGTGGTCTAGGTTAGAGATACAGCCTCCCAAGAATAAGCGTGTTTATGTTTCCAGTTTTAATTTTCCCTACGTTAATTTAAGTGTGCGACCTATTTTTGTTACTAGTGTGACAACTGTTTCTAGTTGAGATCACATTATGACCATTGTGGAATAAGCACCGACACTTAAAGAAGTAACTGGCTTTAGTCTCAAGGGTTGTAAGTTGTGCCTTAGAGGTTTCTGTTAGTTTTCCATAAGTTTTCTCTGTAGTTTCTGTTAACAGAGGATGGGCTCTCCATGAAGACAAGCAGCACGGAAATAGGCAAAATATCCGCAAAACGGGATGTTTTGCGCTTCGCTATAGTAACACGGCTTTATTATTGCAGCGTTGGTTGAAATGGTGTGACTTTATACCATTAAGGCAAACTCGATTTCAAGGGAAGACACTTCGAACCATCCAAACAAGAATAAAAGTTATAGCCAACCCAAAACCAACCAAAATTTCTTGGATGCGTAGGTAACCAAATTTAATTTAACCCATGGCGATCCGCTGCCAGCGTGAGCTTCCGCACTAAGGGCTCCTTGAAATTTCTTGCAAAACAGATATTGGTAAGTTTTCAGATAAGGATTGCCTATCTGTGTGGATAACTATTCTTCAAGAGTTGACTTGCCGCTTCCAAATAGGGAAATGTGTTATTTTGTGAGTGTCGAATGTAATATGTAAAGGCTTATAATTTCCCATCAGTATTAGCGGGCGGGCTAGTATTCCATGTTCTCGACGGATTTGTACTTGCTCCATTAAAGCTGTTGTGTTGTTGTGTTGTCACCTGTTTGGCCTTTTAATAACATAACGTGGTGTCTAGAATTTAAATAAAGACATGATCGTCGCATTGGTCATTGCAATTTAAGCAATTGCAAATTAATCCGAGAAAATCCCGGGACTTCAACGGGATTCAACTTCTGCGTTAGCGCTGCAGTGCTCAGTTGGTAAAGCGCTGCAACGCTTACCCAAAGGCCGTGAGTTCGAATCCCGTTGAAGTCCCGAAATTTTTCCGGGTTAGTTTGCGTAGTATACAAATAAGGGGTTCTGAGGTGGGTGGATAAGGGTTGATCTTGTGGATCCACCGATGAGGTGACGTCATTGATAAGATTAGGGCAATACTTAATTGGCCTCGGTTATGACGTCATAGGCAAAAAGAATAGGCTGTATAACCTTTCCCGGGCTTGCCTAAACCGTAAGTAATTCGTCAATTTTCCGAATAATTATTTATTTGTAGTGTAGTATATAGACACATTCATTAACACAGAATAGATTTTGATTCTACAAGTCATGTAATGGTAGTATGTGCTATAAAGAAGTATTCTCTGCTTATAATCAACTATCATCGTAACGCTAGCCTAAACTACAAAACATTGCCAGTAAATCGTTTTTCAAAAGGACGAATTAAAGGGTTAGACTCTGGATAATAGAAAGACTGGATAGGAAACTGGCTGACGCGATCGTTTCCAACATAGTGGAAAAATGTGACGTCACATTATCGAGAGCCATTCAACCTCATTCGACGTTTTGCGCGTCTTATGTTTCCTCGTCTATTTCACTATCTCTGTCTTCGACTATACCTATTGGCCATGTTTTGAAGTAAAGGATGAAGAGGACTTGCTCTTGGAGAAGACAGTTAGAAAGTACAGAACCGGTAGAGGCAAAAGACAGAGTAAATGATTATGAAACTTGTGAGAGCGACGAATGACTCCAGCGCCCGATAATTTTATGCACCAAACAGGAAGCCTAACTACATAAAAAGTATGCAAAAACTTACATGTTTACAGCTACAAAACACCTATAAAAAAGGCACAGCCTAATTTTCTTCAAACCACAAGAAAACCGGAAATAATTTTGACCCTTTTCATCAGGGTTTTCACGATTTCTTTTCTGCTTTTATCGACAAGCTCAGCGAGTGCCAAATTTTATAAGTTAACAATCCTTGACAAAATGATTTTATTAGCGGTAAAAGTACCCAGCTCAAAGAAGCGTTTAATTTTCCCTTCAATTTTATTTACGGACAACCAGTGACAAGAAGTCGTATTTGAGAAATATAAAGAAGCGGGGAAAAGCTCACAGCAGAGAAAGGAAATTTGCTTGCGGACCACCTTGGAAACGCCGTTTCTAAACTTTTTCAAATCAATTTTCATTGTGAAGCAAGTTGTTTTGTTAGAATCAGGTATAAATGTACAGTGACCCAAGGTACTTTTCAGTCAGGTCTTTGAAAAAGCGAACTGTAACGCTTTTAAAAATGTTCTGTAAAACGGTTAATTGTTAATTACTAGAATACAACTCGGAAGCAAACTCTCCTGGTAAATAGTAGAACCTTCACTCCTTTTTATTAGGAAACACTTGTCTTCCATAAGGCTTATTAAAACCTAGAAATGTATTATCTTTGAAATACTGACCTTTTTTATGATGAAAAAAAGTTTAAGTTTTTGTGTAGTGTTAATGATGGATAGGGAATACTGTAAATCACCTCTGAAATAAACATAAACACTGTTCCCAAAGAAAAATAGAAGCTGCTTATATATATGGAAAAAAAAAACAGTAACATCAGGGGTTATGGGGTTTTTGTTTAGTCTGAGGTAAGTGGATGCGGGATTGAAAAAATATGACTTTCTTGTTACATTATCATGTTGTTGAAAACAAAATGCATACCCCAAACAAGTACAGGTATATGTTTTATTAATTTGATTTAGAATATACCTTGGTAAGGTTTATCATCTACAGGTACATTGTTGCTTTGGATCTCTAAAAAACCGAATACAATAATAGTGCTAATCAAGTCCACCTTTGGTTTGAAAAACAATGTGATTCAGATATAGACCGTTTTTTTTCCAACTTAAACACATGACTCTATAGCTAATACAAGCATTGACCCTCAAACACAGTTAATTTGTCCCACTCACAAAGAAGTAATAAATACACTTCAGAAGTGATAAATAAAGTTTCTTATCATAAATGATTTAGATGCCACCTTCTGGCTCTCATGCATGACAAAAGCAACTTTGTTGCTGTTTAATACAGAAAGATTGATTGATTTGTGCCCTCTCAGAAGAGTACTTGACCACAATTTTACTGTCTTCTGTGACTATGTGTGTTTGGCAAATCCTGCAAGAAAGAAAAACAAAAGGAAATCTAAAACACTGTTTAAAAAATAACAACAACAGGAGCCTAAACGGAGGACAAAAATGTCACTAGGTGTTTTCCCATTGATGCAACAATTATTTATAGTTTATGTAAGGGAAAAGTACAAATTTTTATCGAGTCTCTTCAGTGTCTTCGAAAACAAGTTGCGAGGAACGACGTGAGGCGATTGTATTCACTGGATATGTAATATAGTGGTTTTATTTCAACATTAAAAGATGAGCGAAATTAACATACTGCTTTACGAACAATATAGCAGGATTAATCTAGGATATTACTTGAGCGAGGCAGTTCTGAACACAAACTTGTCGGTCGATTGGAACTTTACACACCGTGTGTGTACACTTGCTCGGCGCCAGCTCCGAACGTAGTTCAGTGGTAGTTAGTTTCAGCCATTTTCAAATGAAATTTATGGCTGAAAAATAACAGCATTCAGACTGTAACTATGCCTATGCCACAATTCCATCCTTAAAACATCTGTCAATCGTAGTTAAGAATAGAAACAAGCAGAAACCTTCATAACAAAGGCGTCCCAAAACAGTCGCCAAGTGTACTAAAATGGCTCTGGTGAAGTCAATTTTTGGGACGCAATTTTCTCAAAGACAAGGACAAATAACACAAAACAACAACAAGAAGTGCTTACCCTGAAGGTTTAAGTGTGGCTTTGGAGGATCGCCATCACCGTAAGACAACAAACGAAGAAAAAAACACCTACCAAAAATTAAAGTACCACTAAAAAATCCGAAAAAGAACAACATGCAGGCAAAGAAACCCTACATTTCGACTGGTTTGCGCCACATTTTCGCCATCGTTTCGTCACAAATCTCCACTATGATGGAACCATCCAACGCCATCTTAGAACACGAACCAACCAATCGGCGATAAGAAATCAGCCCATGTGACATAAGTTTCCTATCCAGTCTTTCTATTATCCATGGTTAGACGAATACGAAATCTCACTGATTTTGGAAGCAAAACATGGAAGCGAGGCCTCGCGCAGCAGAGCGAGAATGCTGATAAATAAGCAAATCCTACANGTACCACTAAAAAATCCGAAAAAGAACAACATGCAGGCAAAGAAACCCTACATTTCGACTGGTTTGCGCCACATTTTCGCCATCGTTTCGTCACAAATCTCCACTATGATGGAACCATCCAACGCCATCTTAGAACACGAACCAACCAATCGGCGATAAGAAATCAGCCCATGTGACATAAGTTTCCTATCCAGTCTTTCTATTATCCATGGTTAGACGAATACGAAATCTCACTGATTTTGGAAGCAAAACATGGAAGCGAGGCCTCGCGCAGCAGAGCGAGAATGCTGATAAATAAGCAAATCCTACACTCTGATAAACATGCCCAAACTTGTCGTGCCTCCCCATTGTTTCGTTGCAAGGGCCACTCAAAAAAAGTACTCACTGTTGCTCCGAGCTGCTCTTTGTTAACTTAGAGTCGCTTAACCCACGGCAATGTTGCTCATTGGTTGCCCAAAATTGCGGGCAACATTGTACAACAAATTTTTGCTGAAAAATAATTGATCCCCCAGAAAAATCACCTACGGTAACCAGCGTAAAACCATAAGACCAGTAACAAGTCATCGTGATCATTTCTTTCCCAACTTTATTAAGCGCAA